CCACTACAATATTGTAAACTAATTAGCTTTCAACTAATAAAAATAAATGAAAAAAAATTAAAAAAAAAATAAGATCAGTTCAGGGCTTAATGGAGTCATTGTGATTTTTTTTTTTTTTAACACAACTTCTACCTGAATTCCTTCTGATCTGGGCACTAGGAACCCAAATAAGAAAAAGAAGTGGTCCCCACCCATCACAGAGCTCAAATTCTAGCAGAGGTGACTGTCGATAAACAAAGGATCAAATGGCCCGTGAAGTTAAATTATTGCCTCGTGTCCCACTCCATGAAGGAGGTAAGCGGGGTGCTGTGACGGTAAATTGTTTTAAGTATCTAACATTCATTTCAGAGAGGATGGTCAGGGAAGGCCTGTCTGCAGAAGTGGTATTAGGCTAGATGTGGAGGATGCAAAGGAGCTAGACGTGTGAGAGCCTCGGGAGAGTGTCCCCACCAGTGACACAGCAGGTGCAAAGGCCCGGAGGTGAGAGTGAGGTTGGATTTGTGAGAAACTGGAAGAAGGAGGCCTGGGTGGCTGGAGTCTTGTCAGAAAGGGAGGGGAGATGCCAGGTCAGCACCAGGCCAGACAGGCTGTGTGCACAGACATGGACTTCAGGATCTGGTTTTACCCCACCCACACCCCTAGTCTGGGGATTGTCTTGCAGCAACCTACACTCTGAATACATCCTAGAACTTCACTAATTCAAGCCCCATGAGTGTAGCAGTGCAGACATGGCTGAACCACACACTCAGGGAGAAGCAGGCTCTCTGACAGCATTTACAAGACCGTGAAGGGGATGCTGATGGGGATGCTGAGGGGATCTTGCAGGCCCTTCATGCTTTGGTCTCAGAGCCTGTGTTTCTGGAAATACGACTGATTTGAGATCCTGAAAAGCACCCCTTGCTGCAAAACTCCTCCACATCAAGATGAAACACAAAGGAGAACTTTAAAAACATAAAATCAGTTATTCTCTGATTCATTTATTTAAAAAAATTTTTAATACACCCTTTAAAAAATATTTATATTTTTGTATGTGGTCTTTTTAAAAAATACTTTTTAATGATGTAAAGTAATTAGCCTCCAACTAATAAAAATAAATGGAAAAAAAATACTTTTATCATCTCACATTTTTACTTTATTTATTTATTTTTGACTGCACTGGATCTTCAGTGCTGTGCACGGGCTTTCTCTAGTTGCAGTGAGGTGGGGCGGCTACTCTTCGTTGTGGTATGTGGGCTTCTCATTGCAGTGGTTTCTCTTGTTGCAGAGCACAGGCTATTAGGCACTCAGGCTTCAGTAGCTGTGGCTCACAGGCTTAGTTGCTTCATGGCATGTGAGAACTTCCCAGAGCAGGAATTGAATCCATGTGCCCAGAATTGACAGGTGGATTCTTAACCACTGGACCACCAGGGAAATTGAAAGTCATTCAGTCGTGTCTGACTCTTTGTGACCCCATGAACTATACAGTCCATGGAATTCTCCGGGCCAGAATACTGCAGTGGGCAGCCTTTCCCTTCTCCAGGGGATCATCCCAATCCAGGAATTGAACCCAGGTCTCCTGCACTGCAGGCGGATTCTTTACCAGCTGAGCCACCAGGGAAGCCCATACCGCCAGTACCACCAGGGAAGCCCTCAAAATATTTTATGTATGTATTTATTTATTTATTTGACTGTGCTGAATCTTAGCTGCAGCATGCAGGATGTTGAGCTGTGGCATGGGAACTCTTAGTTGCCCCATGTGTAATCTAATCCCTCAACTGGGGATCGAACCTGGGTCCCCTGTATTGGGAGCACAGAATCCCAGCCACTGGACAATCAGGGAAGTCCTGCTAAAACAGAAATTTTGTTCCCACTAAACACTAACTCTCCATTCACCGCCAGAGCCCGTGGTAACCACTCTTCTACTTTTTGCCCATGAATTTGACTATTCTTAAGTACTTTGTACGGACTTCTCTGGTAGCTCAGTTGGTAAAGAATCCACTTGCAATATAGGACACCCCAGTTCAATTTCTGGGTCGGGAAGATCCCCTGGAGAAAGGAGAAGCTACCCACTCCAGTATCCATGGACTTCCCTGGTGGCTGAGACGGTGAAGAATCCACCTGCAATGCAGGAGACACAAGTTTGATCCCTGGGTTGGGAAGATCCCCTGGAGGAGGGCATGGCAACCCACTCCATTATTCTTGCCTGGAGAATCCCCATGGGCAGAGGAGCCTGGCGGGCTACAGTCCATGGGGTCGCAGAATCAGACACAACTGACTGAACACAGCACAGCACGAGTATTTTGTATACATGAAATCGTGCAGCATATGTCTTTTTCCGACTGGTGTATTTTACTCAGCATCGTGTCCTCAGGGTTGGTTGTTTTTGTTGGTCCTTGTTTTTGAAGACTACATGATAGTCCTTTGTGTGTAGGTACCATATTCTGTTTACCTGTTTATGCACTGATGGTCACTTGGGTTGCTTCTACCTTTTGGCTTTTGTGAATGAAATTGTTCTGAATGTGGGTGTATACATAAATGCCTGTTTAAAATGCAGACAACTTTCAGTTTTCTGGGGTATTGCACAGAAGTAAAATTGATGGATCATGCGGTTCTATTTTTAATTCTTTGAGGAACTGCCATATTGTTTTCCATAAAATGTTGAGAAATCTCCAGGGGTCTATCGAGAGAGAATCATGGCTACCCTTTAATAGTTGACCAAACTTTATAGTCAGGATGTTTGACATGAGGAGGTTGAAGAAATAAGGGTGCAGGGGACCCTCTAGGGCCCAGCGCCTCTGTGAAGGTGGATTTTAACATATGCGTGTGTGTTGAGTCGATTCAGTCAAGTCCAACTCTTTGTGACCTTATGGATTGCAGACCTCCAGGCTCCTTTGTCCATGGGATTCTCCAGGCAAAAATACGGAATGGGTTGCTGTGCCCTTCTCCAAGGGATCTTCCCAACACAGGGATCGAACCTGCATCTTTTACATCTCCTGCATTGACAGGCGGGTTCTTTACCACTAGAGCCACCCGGGAAGCCCGGATTTTAACATAACTGCCAGTAAAATCAGGGGATGAAACCTGTCTGTTCATCTGGACTCAAGGAAGAAGAGGAAAATAGCTCCTCTGAAAACTTGTGCCCACAGGCCTGCCGTATGTGAGTTTGGAGTTTGAATTTATGCCACCTTTGTGATCCAGAAAGAACCAAAGGGGAGGGACTTCCCTTTGGTCTGGTAGTTAAGACTCTGTGATCCCAATTCATGTGGTCTTGGATTCGATCCCTGGTCAGGAAACTAGATCCCACATGCCACAACTAACACCTGGCACAGCCAAAAAGAAAAAAAAGAACCAAAGGGGAAATTTATGTTTGCCTTTCAGTTCAGTTCAGTTCAGTCGCTCAATCATGTCTAACTCTTTGTGACCCCATGGACTGCAGCATGCCAGGCCTCCCTGTCCATCATCAGCTCCTGGAGTTTACTCAAACTCGTGTCCGTTGAGTCCATGATGCCATCCAACCATCTCATCCTCTGTCATCCCCTTCTCCTCCTGCCTTCAGTCTTTCCCATCAGGGTCTTTTCCAGTGAGTCAGCTCTTCACATCAGGTGGCCAAAGTATTGGAGTTTCAGCTTCAGCATCAGTCCTNTCTTCACATCAGGTGGCCAAAGTATTGGAGTTTCAGCTTCAGCATCAGTCCTTCCAATGAATATTCAGGACTGATTTCCTCTAGGACGCACTGGTTGGATCTCCTTGCAGTCCAAGGGACTCTCAAGAGTCTTCTCCAACACCACAATTCAAAAGCATCAATTCTTCGGTGCTCAGCTTTCTTTATAGTCTAACTCTCACATCCATACATGTTTACCTTTACTTTTCCTCAAAGTAGGGCCTGTGAGAAGGCCCTGGGTTGGGCCAGTTGGTGTGGGAGGTGTTCACAGGTGGGGCAGAGAGGTGAGCAGGGAGAAGAAGGATAATGGGGTGCCAAGGAGCTGTTACTCATGTGGGGATGTGGGGCCAGACCCTGAGGGTACCCCAGCAAGAGTGAATGGGACGAAGCTCAGAGTATCCCTGAGGGGGATGGGGGCTGGGCATCTCTCCATCAAAGTGACTTTCAGGGGACCAGGTCCTGGTTCCCTCTGAATGTGTGTCCCCACAGCCCAGAAATGTCCTCATCCTCACAGAGGATTCCAGAAGCCACGGGGGCCTACTGGGAAGTGTCCATCATGACGTGGGGCTGGTTGAGGAGATGCAGATGAATCCCAGACAGTGTTTAATCCATTAAGTTCAGTCGTCCTGGGAGCAGTGTTGGAGGGTCTGGCAGAGGCCTCATACCCTCAGCCCTGACTCTGCAGAATTCCCATCCTAAGGTGGCCAGCTGAATGCAAGCCCAAATCCATCGGGTCTTCCCTGGCAGTCCAGTGGTTGAGACCCCACGCTCCCATTGCAGGGGACATGAGGCTCAATTTCTGCCGGGGGAACTGAGATCACACATGTGGTGCGTGTGTGTGTGCTCAGTTGGGTCCAACTCTTTTGTGACCCCATGGACTGTAGCCTGCCAGCCTCCTCTGTCCATGGGTTTTCCCAGGCAAGAATACTGGAGTGGGTTGCCATTTCCCCCTCCAGGGGATCTTCCTGACCCAGGGATCAAATCCGCGTCTCCTGTACCTCCTGCATTGGCAGGTGGATTCTTTACCACTTGAGCTACCTGGGAAGCCCTCCCACATGCTTTGAGGTGTGGCGGAAAAAAAAAGCACAATCTACCCTGGGAGTATCGCCAGATTCTTCTTCCATGTGACACATTCATGTCCCCATGCTTTTGTACATGCCATACCCTCTCCCTGGGATTCTTTTCCCTTTCCCTGATGTAAAGTAACCTTAAATGTCACCTCCTCTCCTGGGGGAGGCCTGCTGCTGTCCTCCCCACCCCCTCAGCATTCCTCCCTCTGCACCCCTAGGGACACCCTAGGACACTTCAGCCGGATGTCCCAGGGAGAAGCATTTGTTTACACTTGTCTTTCCTGCTATAGTGTTTGCAGCTCATCCTGTGCCCAGCCCAGGAAGTACAAGTAAAATGAGTAGATAACAGAGTTGTGAAAGATGCTGACCTGCCCTGACCTCCTTCTCATCCATCTAATAGACAAGGGTGAGTCTTGCTATGGAAAAACTGGTCAACTTAGTTTCAGTAAGTAACGCTGTACCCATGAAAATAATAACACTTACTTCTTTAAAACAGTCTGTGAATTTTATGGAACTTCCCCGGTTTGATCCCTGACCAGGGAACTAAGATCCCACATGCTGTTCTGTGCCGCCATAAGTTTAAAAAAGAAGTCTATGAATTTTAGACCAGATCTCCATTTAAAGTGTTTTTGTTTTTGTTTTAAATTGAGGTGAGACTCACCTCCTGTTTAGTGTAGAGTGAGGTTTTTGCTTTTTAACTTACTTTACTGATGTATAGTTGATTTGCAATGTTGTGTTGATTTCTGCTGTACGGCAAAGTGATTCAGTTATATTCATTACATACATATTCAATACATACACAGACTTCTTTTTCATATTCTCTTCTATTATGGTTTATCACTGGGTATTCAGTATAGTTCCCTGCGCTATACTGTAGGATCTTGTTGTTTACCCATGCGCTCAGTCACTCAGTCCTATCTGACTCTCTGCGACCCAATGGACTGTAGCCCACCAGGCTCCTCTGTCCATGGAATTCTCTAAGCAAGAATCCTGGAGCGGGTTGCCATTTCCTTCTACATGGGATCTTCCTGACCCAAGGATTGAACCCGCATCTCTTGTGTCTCAGTTCTTTACCTCTAGTGCTATCTGGGAAGCCCCTGTTTATCCACAGAGGGAGGTTTTAAATGCGCTTCTTGGTTTGGGGCATGCACCAGCCGACTTGATGCTGCTTCGCTTCTTTCTCTGTGCATCCCTGGGAGACCGGCTGGTCCTGGCAGTGGTCCTGGGAACTCGCTGTACTGTGAGGTTGGCAATGTTTCCTTCCTCAAGCTCTGTCCTCTCACTCCTAGGGCTTTGCTCCTGGGGGAGCACAGAGGAGCTCGGCTGATGCTCTAGGATAAGCCTGGGGTTGCCAGCACTACTTTAGCAACCACAGGGATGAGCCAGGCTTCCAATGAAGGAGCAGAGCTGGCACTTCACTCCTGCTTGTTAGGGACACCGCACCGGGACTTGGCTCCCATCTGTGCCCTTACAGGCAGCCCCGCAGTCATGGATCAGATTTCCATTCCCAGAACTTTAGAAGCAGTTTGGGTCACAAGTCACAAGTCTTGAGTGATGAGTAAACTGGGAAAGTGAATTTAAGTGAATATTTTCATTCCAGAATCAACTTTCCAGGGTGGAGGTAGAGTTACCCATCCTGCAGAAATAGCCCATCTTATTTTTTCTTTCTTTTTTGGCCATGCTGTGCAGCGTATGGGATCCTAGTTCCCTGACCATGGATTGAACTTGCATCTCCTGCAGTGGAGATGCAGACCCCTAACCATTAGACCACAAGGGAAGTCCTGTCGTCTTTTGGAAAAAAAAAAAAAAATTGACATGTAGTTGATTTTAGGCTTCCCTGGTGTCTCAGTCAGTAAAGAATCTGCCTTCAATGCAGGAGACCCAAGTTTGATCCCTGGGTCAGGAAGATACCCTGGAGAAGGAAATGGCAATCCACTCCAGTATTCTCAGCTGGGAAATCCCATGGATAGAGGAGCCTGGAGGGCTACAGTCTGTGGGGTTGCAAAGAGTTGGACACGACTTAGCGACCAAACCACCAACCACCACAGTTGATTTACAATGTGTGTGTGTTTCTTTTTTTGGTTTGTTTTGCTTTTGTTTGTGGCTGTGCTGGGTCTTCACTGCAGGAAGTAGGCTTCCGTAGTGTCTAGTTGTGGCAAGTGGACTTAGTTGCCCTGCGACATGTGGAACCTGAATTCCCCAACCAGGGATCGAACCCGAGTCCCCTGCTTTGGAAGGTGGATTCTTAACCACTGGACCAACAGAGATACTCCTGTTGTGTTAGTTTCTGTGGGATGTTCTTTTTAAAATATTCTGTCCCATTGTGGTTTATCAGAGGATATTGAATATAGTTCCTTATGCTATACAGCAAGACCTTGTTGTTTATCCATCCTATCTATAATGGTCCAGATCTGTTAATCCCGAACTCCCAATCCATCCCTCCCACCATCTCCCTCCCACTGGACAACAAGAGTATAGCAAGTCTATACTCTAAGTCTGGTTCTGTTTCTCAGCTAAGTTCACTTGTGTCATATTTTAGATTTCACTTTTAAGTCATATCATACAGTATTTGTTTTTCTCTTTCTGATTTACTTCCCTTAGTATAATAATCTCTAGGTCCATCTGTGTTGCTGCAAGTGGCATTATTTCATTCTTTTTCATGGCTGAGTCGTTTTCCATTGGATCTGTATGCCACATGTTCTTTATCCATTCATCTGTTAGTGGACATTTAGGTTGTTTGCATATCTTGGCTATTGTGAATATTGGAAGGAACCCATCTTAACTTCGATTTTTGTAGCTCAGATATGACATCAAGAATCATATCCATCTGGCTTCCCTGGTGGTCCAGGGGTTAAGAATCTGCTTGCCAGTGCAGGCGACATGGGTTTGACCCTTGCTCCAGGAAGATTCCTACATGCCACTTGGCAACTAAGCCCGTGTCCACTATTACTGAGACCCGGGTGCCTGGAGCCCATGCTCCACGGCAAGAGAAGCTACCGCAAAGAGAAGCCCGAGCACTGCAACAAAGAGTAGCCCCTGATCACCACAGCTAGAGAAAGCCCTTGTTCAGCAAGGAAGACCCAGGAGGCCCAGCCAAAAAGAAATGAAGAGACATGTAATCAAATAAATCTTTAAAAAAAGACTCATATCCATCAACAAGGGGTGGAAACAGAGGAACCCTGATAAATCTGTTAGACTCTGGGTCATTTTATTACATATTTGGCTTGATGAATTTTTTGAAAAATTAGAATAAGGGTCATCAAACTACAACCTTAAGGTCTGTTTTTGTATAGTCCAGAAGCTAAAAATTCTTTTTATACTTTTAATTTTTTGGCTATGCTGAGTCTTCATTGCTGTGAGAGGACTTTCTCTAGTTGCAGAGCTTGAGCTTCTTACTGTGGAGGCCTTTCTTGTTGCTGAGCATGGACTTTTGGTGCCCAGGCTTCTGAAGTTGTGGTGCATGGGCGTAGTTGCTCCCTGGCATGTGGAATCTTCCCAGACCAGAGATGGAATCCATGTCCCCTGCATTGGCAGACAGATTCTTAACTGCTGGACCATGAGGGAAGTTTTATTTTTACTTTTTTGATTTTGTTTTAAGTTGCATTTTTTTCTTGGCCACATCATGTGGCTTGCTGAATCTTAAGTTCACTAGGATTCTCTGGGAATCCCTAGTTGCCTGACTAGGGATTGAACCCATGTCCTCTGCATAGGGAGCATGGAGTCTTAACCACTGGACCATCAGGAAGTCCTGGTTTTTACATTTTTAAAGGATTGGGAAAGAATCACCAGGATAATAATATTTCATGACAGGTGAAAACTACAGAAATTTAAATTGCTGTGTCCTTCAAATTTTGTTGGGACAAAGTCCTGCCCATTTATTTACGTAGTGCTCATGGCTGCTACTTTCCCTATGCAGGCAGAACTGTGTAGTAGAGACATAAATGGGATGGCTGTAAAGCTGAAAATAGTTACTGTTTGGTGCAGAAAGTTCACTGAGCCTTGGGTTGTGATATTGGAGATAAAGGAGTTAATGATACTGCCGCACCCGGTACAATGCACCCTACACTGAGCATTACTTACACTGAAGGAAGGAAGGAATGGATGCTGGGAATAAGCAAGATCACTTGGTCTCACATGGAGGTTTCAAAGCTCTTGTTACCAGATCCAGGTTCCCCCCACTCCCTAGTTGGCTCAATGATAAAGAATCCACCTGCTAATGCAGAAGACACAGGAGATGTGAGTTCGACCCCTGGTTCAGGAAGATCCCCTGGAGTAGGAAATGGCAACCTCCTCCAGTATTCTTGCCTGGAAAGTTCCATGGACAGAGGAGCCTGGTGGGCTACAGTCCATAGGGTCACAGAGTCGGACACAACTGAGTCGGACCCACTCACCCCAGATCCAGGCTGCACCAACATCAAACCCTGAAGGGAGACATGGTGGTCATGGCCTCCAGAAGCCCACACACTTCTGGACAACGAGGGTTGTACCAGGGTGATGAGATTCTCGGCGTCAGGAAACTGCTCCCTGGCCAGTCACCCAGGAACCCACCCACCCTTCTCAGGAATTCACCCCTCCCATCCTGGTGGGTGTCAATGCCACTCCTTATTCTCAAATGTCAGATTACCTAATGTCTCGGTCTGCTTGGGCTGCCTGAACAAAGTACCAGACCCGGGTGGCTGCAACCACAGAAATGGATTTTCTCATAGTTTTGCAGGCCGAGAATCCAAGATCAAGGTGCTGAAGGTTTGGTTTCTCCTGAGGCTTCTCTCCTAGGCCTGCAGACGGCCACTGTCTCCCTGTGTCCTCAGCCAGTCTTCCTTCCCTGGTGTCTCTCTCTCTTAGGATTTGAGCCCATCTGTATGACCTCACTTAACCTCAGTCACATCTTTAAAGGCCCTGACTGCAAATACAGTCACGTGCTGAGGTCCTAGCAGTTATGGTTTCTGAAACCGAGTCTACCTCAAAACTGAGAAAACTGAAACCGAGTTTTCCTGCCGAGTTTATGATTAACCTCACTTTCCAAAACTTTATTCTCTTTCTTGTCTGTTCCCCGTTCCCCTCAGGATTGAGGAGTATCTAAAAAAAGTGGGGAATTACTCTCCGGGGTCCCCCTGGGAACAATGGTACCTCCACTGTCTCTTGTTTCTTGTTTGTAGAAAAAACTTTAGTCTCCTAGGCTTTCCCTGAGTTCCAAAGAGCAGATCCAGCAGTTAATGATTAGGACAATAAAGTCCCAGGACTCCTAGTTCCTCCTGAAGGGACAGAGATAACGATCTGACCCAACTCTTTGAGTTGTTCTGCATAAACTCAGACCCCACCTAGTGGAGGATGGTGATGACATGCTGACCACAAGCACCAGACCCCAGACTGGTTGGAACCAGAAGGTTGGAGACTGAGATTCCCATTCATCACCCTATTGTCATACCACCAACCAATCAGAAGAAGGTCCATGATCAGCCATCCTACCCCCAACACTGTCTTTAGTGTCACGCATTCAAAAAACTAAGATCATGATATCCAGTCCCATCACTTCATGGCAAATAGAAGGGGAAAAAGTAGAATCAGTGACAGATTTTATTTTCCTGGGCTCCAAAATCACTGTGGATGGTGATTGCAGCCACGAAATTAAAAGATGTTTGCTTCTTGGAGGCCAAGACATGACAAACCTAGACAGTGTATTAAGGAGCAGAGACAAAACTTTGCCGACAAAGGTCCATGTAGTCAAAGCTGTGGTTTTTCCAGTGGTTATGTACAGATGTGAGAGTTGAACCATAAAGAAGGTAGAGCACCAAAGAATTGATGCCTTTGAATTGTGGTACTGGAGAAGACTCTTGAGGCTCCCTTGGACTGCAAGGAGGTCAATCCTAAAAGAAGTCAATCCTGAATATTCATTGGAAGGACTGATGCTGAACCCGAAGTTCCAGTACTTTGGCTACCTGATGGGAAGAGCTAACTCATTGGAAAAGACCCTGATGCTAGGAAAGGTTGAGGGCAGGAGAAGGACATGACAGAGGTTGAGATGTTTGGATGGTATCACTGACTCAATGAACATGAGTTTGAGCAAACTCTGGGAGATAGTGAAGGACAGGGAAGCCTGGTGCACTGCAGTCCTTGGTGTTGCAAGAAGTCGGATGTGACTTAGTGACTGACCACCACCACCACCAGTGTTCTTAAAAACCCTTGCTGTCAGAGAGTTTGAGTCTTTTAATCATGAGCTGCCCATTCTCCTTGGTGCTCTGCAAATCTTTCTTTGCTCCAGAAACTCAGGTGCTTTGTTTTGTTTGGCCCCACTGTGCAACACTGATGCTGCAGCTGAAACGGAAACTCCAATACTTTGACCACCTGACAAAAAGAACTGACTCACTGGAAAAGACCTTGATACTGGGGAAGATTAAAGGCAGGAGGAGAAGGGGATGACAGAGGATGAGCTGGTTGGATAGCATCACTGACTTGATGGACATGAGTTTGAACAGGCTCCGGGAGTTGGTGATGGACAGGGAAGCCTGGCCTGCTGCAGTCCATGGGGTTGCAAAGAGTTGGACATGACTGAGCGACTGAACTGAACTGTGCAGCAAGCACACAGACTTGGGTTTGACAATTTCAACATGAATTTTGGGGAGACATGATTCAACCCATGTCACTTAATTTTCTTGATTTTGTTTAAATCAGAATGTGTCTGGGGACTTCCCTGGTAGTCCCATGGTTAAGAATCTACCTTGCAATGCAGGGGACACAAGTTAAATCCCTGGTTGGGGAAATGAGATCCTACTTGCCTGGGAACAAATAAGCCTGGGGACAATAACTAGAGAGTCCATGTGCTGCAATGAAAGATTCTCCGAGGGCTTTCCTGGTGGCTCAGTGGTAAAGCATCTGCCTGCCAGTGCAAGAGACATGGGTTCGGTCCCTGATCCAGAACGATCCCACATGCCTCAGAGCAACTAAGCTCGTGCACCACAACTATTGAGCCCGTGCTCTGAAGCCTGAGAGCCACAACTACTGAAGCCTGTGTGCTGTAGAGCCTGTGCTCCGCAACAAGAGAAGCCACAGCAATGAGAAGCCAGTGCATTGCATCTAGAGAGCAGCCCCATTCTTTATAATTAGAGAAACGTCTGCACAGCAAGAAGACCCAGGACAGCCAAAAACTAAAAATAGATAAATATTTTTAAAAAAAAGATTCTGCCAGCCCCAACTAAGTCTTGACACCAGCAAATAAATTATTTTATTTAAAAAATAATTTATTAAAAATTATAATTTATAAAAATAATTATATTTTTTAAAAAAGTGTAACTGCTCTGGAGCCCTGTCAGGCAGCATGGAAGGGAAATTCACTCTCAGGTATTACTGCAGCTCTGGCCTCCTGCCTTCCCACCTGCAGAGATGCTGAGGGTCTCTGGAGGCCATTGAGACCTTAGGAGGCAGGACCCCTGGAACTTCCCTCCTCTTTGGTCGGTGCTGATCTGCCCTTGTCCTAGCTGCCCACTTCCAGATGAAGCTGGGAGCCCCACTCCCACCTGCCCCCACATCCTCCAGGCGCTTGTTCCCCTGGGGCCCCCAAGGATACAGACCAGCCCTCAGTTTGCCCCTTCCTTGCCGGCCCCTCCCTCAGCCCCCAGCCGCAGGCAATTCAATTCTTTCCTGAGTCTAAGAAGACTCTGAATTTGGCCTCAGAGCAGAGAATTCTTTTTTTTTTTTTTCCATTTATTTTTATTAGTTGGAGGCTAATTACTTTACATCCCTGTCCCTCCACCCCCTCCCCTGCTGACCTTAAATGACGCCAGCTTGTCTGCCTCCTTAAATTCCCATGACTTCCTGCCAGGGACTCTTGCACAAGGCACCATCCCTTCTCCCCTGCTTCCTGGGAGGTGGAAAGGGGTCTTCCTGCCCCAGGCCAAGTGCTCCCCACCCTCTTCCAGCTCCATCAGTGGCCCCTCCTTATACATTTTAGCTGTTTTTTTTTTTATATAAAGTTTTATGCTTGGTGGTGGTTTAGTTGCTAAGTCCTGTCCGACTTTTGCGACCCCATGGACTGTAGCCTGCCAGGCTCCTCTGTCCATGGGATTCTCCAGGCAAGTATACTGGAGTGGGTCACCATTTCCTTCTCCAGGGAATCTTCCTGACCCAGGGATTGAACCCGGGTCTCCTGCACTGTTTATGTTTAGAATCATTGATGATTTACCGAAAAGTATACAGAGACTTTTCGTATACAACCCCCTCACCCAGTTGTATACTATTATTAACTAAAGTTCACACTTTATTCAAATTCCCTTAGTTTTTACCTAATGTCCTTCTTCTGCTTCAGGGTGCCACCCAAGATGTCACGTGACATTCTGTTGTCATGCCTTCTTGGGCTACTCTTGGCTGGGATGGTTTCTCAGACTTCCCTTAACTTTGAGAATCTTGATGGTTTGGGGAAGTACGATTGTCAGTAGACTGTCCCTCATTTTGGGTTTGTGTGGTTGCTTGTTTGTTTTTCTCATGACTAGACTGGTGTTTAAGGACTCTTGGGAGGAAGACCACAGAAACGAAGTGTCATCCTCATCACATCGTTTCAAGGCTGCCTGATGTCAACATAATCACCGCCATGGATGTTGACTTTGCTCACCTGGCTGAGGTGATGTCTGTAAAGTTCTTCTTTGTCCTCCATTCCATACTGTGCTCCCTGGAAGAAGTCAGGGCTATAGTGGGTGGGGAGTCAAGCTTCACTTCCTTGAGGGGTCAATATTTACATCAATTATTGACAATTTCCCCATACAGAAACCTTTTCTCTCCCTCTTTTATTTGCTTATTCAATCATTTATTTGTATCAATACAGACTCACAGATATTTATTTTATCCTTTGAGTTGTTATCAAATATGTTATTTCTTTTTTGTTCAAATTGTTCCTACCTTTGACTCTGGGTTGATTCAATTTTAGTAGATTCTGTGGTCCTTTGATGTGGCCCCATCCCTTTGTTTTGGAAGCACTTCCTTCTTTCCTTCCAAGATGCTCCAGGCTCCTGCCCCAGGCTAGGATCAGACACTTCTTCCAGGAGCCCTGGTGTCTGTTATCAAGGAGAACAGGCTTAGGAATCTAGGTCTGGGTGCCATGTGCCCTCTGAAGGAACAAAATTGGAAATTTATGCTGAAATATAGATAACTTGTATATAATACACATGACTAGGATGCTGGGAGAAATATCAACAACCTCAGATATGCAGATGATACTACTCGGATGGCAGAGAGTGAAAAGGAACTAAAGAGCTTCTTGATGAAAGTGAAAGAGGAGAGTGAAAAAGCTGACTTGAAAGTCAACATTCAAAAAACGAAGGTCATTTCAAGAGGAAGAGGAAATATGTGTACCTATGGCTGATTCATGCAAAAAAAAAAAACAACTAAGGTCATGACATCCAGTCCCATTACTTCATGGCAAATAGAAGGGGGAAAAGTTAAAGCAGTGGCAGAGATTTTATTTTCTTGGGCTCCAAAATTAGTGCAGATGGTGACTGAAGCCATGAAGTTAAAAGATCCTTGCTCCCTGTAAGGAAAGCTATTAAAGCTAGACAGCATATTGAAAAGCTGCTGCTGCTGCTGCTGCTCCTAAGTTGCTTCAGTCGTGTCTGACTCTGTGCGACCCCATAGACAGCAGCCCACCAGGCTCCCAGAATCCCTGGGATTCTCCAGGCAAGAACACTGGAGTGGGTTGCCATTTCCTTCTCCAATGCATGAAAGTGAAAAGTGAAAGTGAAGTCGCTCAATTGTGTCTGACTCTTCGAGACCACTTGGACTGCAGCCTACCAGGATCCTCCGTTCATGGAGTTTTCCTGGCAAGAGTACTGGAGTGGCTTGCCATTGCCTTCTCTGTATTTAAAAGCAGAGATACCACTTTGCTGACAAAGGTCCATCTGGTCAAAGCTAAGGTTTTTCCAGTAGTCATGTATGGATGTAAGAGTTGGACAATAAAGAAAACTCAGCACCAAGGAATTGATTCTTTCTAGTTGTGGTGTTGGAGAAGATTGTTGAGAGTCCCTCGGACTGCAAGGAGATCAAACCAGTCAATCCTAAAGGAAATCAATCCTGAATATTCATTGGAAGGACTGATGGTGAAGCTGAAGCTCCAATATTTTGACCACCTGATGCAAAGAGCCAACTCATTAGAAAAAACCCTGATGCTGGGAAAGATTGAGGGCAAGAGGAGAAGGGGGTGGCAGAGGATGAGATGGTTAGATAGCATCCCTGACTCAATGGACATGAATTTGAGCAAACTCCAGGAGATAGTGGAGGACAGGGGAGACTGGCATGCTGCTGTCCATGGGGTCACAAAGAGTTGGAAATGACTTAGTGACTGAACAACAACAACAGCATTTCTGTATTTACCCATCTGTATTTTTATAAGCTAAATGAGTTGCTGCTGATATCTCCAACTCTAAACCAGTACCACGTGGTTCATTCCCTTGCTTATCTATAACTTCCCTCTGCAACTGAGAGAAACTCAGCTCCCACCACCTGTCATCCCTTTACTTATTTATTTATCCATGTGATTCAGGAGTGTTAGCTTGCTGACAATGAGCAATGAGTTTATCAGGAAGAGTACAGCGCTACATGTAGCTCACTTTGTCAACAGACTTTGGCAGGAGGAGAAAGGGACGACAGAGAATGACATAATTGGATGGCGTCATTGACTCGGTTTGGGCAAACTCCAGGAGGTAGTGAAGGACAGGGGAACCTGGCGTGCTGCAGTCCATGGGGTCACAAAAGCTGGACACAACTGAGTGACTAAACAACAACAACAAAGTCTAATGGCCACCAACCATTCCCACAGTTGCTTAAGAAACTATAGATCAGCACCTTTTCTCCCCCATCTCCTTCAGGGAGGCTATGTGACTTTTCTAATACAGTTACATTCTTTTTTCACAGTCTGCACCCTATCCTGGGACTCCCCACTATCTCCTAAATGATTTAAAAAAAAATTTGTCTCCATTAAGATTTGCTCTGTGCTGTAAAACTCTGGGGATTTAACAGTGGACAATGTCCTGCATCCATCATCACAGTGTTACACAGAACCATTTCACTCCACCACCCCAATTCTCCTGTGCCCTCCTTCCAACCGTTGGCAACCACTGATCAGTTATCCATCTCTATTTCCTGCATTTATTTATTATTTTATTTTTGTCTTTTCACGGCTTTACAGCTCATTTTCTTTTTAAAAAAATTCTTTTTTGGAGTATAGTTGGTTTACAATGTTGTGTTAGTTTCAGGTGTATGGTGAAGTGAACCAGTTACACACACACACGCAGACACACACACACACGTTAATATATGCGCCATGCCATGCTCATTCGCTCAGTCACATCTGACTCTGCAATCCCATGGACTGTAGCCCTCCGGACTCCTTTGTCCATGGGATTTCCCGGGGAAGAATACTGGAGGGGGTTGTCATTTTGTCCAGGGGATCTTACCGACCCAGGGATTGAACCTGCATCTCCCTTATCTCCTGCATTGGTAGGAGGACTCTTTACCGCCTGAGAAGCTATATACATACCCCTTTTAGATTCTTTTTTCCCTGCAGATCATTACAGAGTGCTGAGTAGAGTTCCCAGTGCTCTACAGTGGGTTCTTATTAGTGCTCTGTCTTACGTGAGTGTGTGTGTGTGAGTCACTCAGTCGTGTCTGGCTCCTTGCGACCCCATGAGTTGGGGCCCACCAGGCTCCCATGACTTGGGGCCCATCAGGCTCCTTCATCCATGAGATTCTCCAGGCAAGAACCCTGGAGTGGGTTGCATTCCCCTCTCCATATCTTATACATAGTAGCGTGTATATGTCATTTCCAATCTCCCAGTTTATCCATTCCCCCACTTCCCCCTAGTGACCATAAGTTTTTTTCTACATCTGTGACTCTATTTCTGTTTTGTAGGTAAGTTCATTTGGATCCACATTTGCCCTGAATTTGAATGAACTTTTTGGCAGGCTAGGCGGTGCATGTGGTTCCCTTAAGGACATTTGTACATCTGCTGGCTGGTGATTCCAAAAGGAAAACAATTTGAAAACTTGCTTACACAAATATTCATAGCAGCATATCCTTGAGAACTAAATAGCATAAAAATCCAAATGTCCATCAACTGATGGATGGATAAACAAAATGTGGTCTGTGCTCACAATGGAATATTACTCAGCAGAAACAGGAAAGAAGTGCTGTTACAGGCTATGGCACAGATGAACCTTGAAAACATTGCACTATGGGAAAGAAACCAGAGACAAAAGGCCCCATCTTATGTTACTGTGATTCCATTTACATGAAAGGTCCAGAGCAGGCAAATCTATAGACAGAAAGAAAAGAAGACTGGCAGTTGCGAGGGGCTGAGGGGCGGGAGAATTAGGGGGCGATGGCTAAGGGTGATCAACATGTTTTAAAATTGATTGCGTTGATGATTGCACAAGACTGTGACTATACTAAACACCATCAAATTGTACACTTTAGATAGGTGGATTGTATGGTATGTGAATTACAGCTTCATAAAGTTGTTACCCAACAACACAAAACAATTCCCTCACTGACTGTGCTAAGGTGATATCCATTGAGATGAGTCATACTCACTATGTGAATTCTCAGGATAACTCAGGGTTACAGGGTTATTTTCAAGACAGCCCCAAGTTGGGCTTCAGAAGGTCTACCCAGGACCAGCCAAAGAGGCTTATTCAAAGGTGCCCAGAACTGCTTTACACAGGAGATGGCCACGCACACCTGTGAAGCCTCTTTGGCTATGAGGTCCCAGAGATGGCACGGGCCATGAACAAAGAAATCACTGTCAGGGTCATTTCATCTCTGGGCCCTCCCTTCCCTCCACTCTAAGGATTGAGTTGGGATTGGAACCTGGGACAGTTCGGCAAGTGACAGAATTTGAGCCCTGTTTGTAGGACTGTGGCCCTTGCCTCTAGGGTGGGGGTGGGGTGGGGTGTGGGGACCACTTTCTGACGCCAGATCAAACATGGACGTGATTACAGCAGTAGGGTTAGGTTGGCTTCAGTTGCTCAGTCATGTCCGAGTCTTTGAGGTCCCATGGACTGTACCATGCCAGGTTTCCTTGTCCTTCACCGCCTCCTGGAGCTTGCTCACACAACAACAAAGCAGCCAAAGAAATTGGTTCCAGAATCTAATCTGAGAGGGAGTGTCACACATAGAGTCATATGCATTTGTTCTCAATGGGAGTGACCTGTCACGGGGGACAGAGATCAGGTGGATTGTCAGAGCGATTACGTAGAATTCGCTCTCTCTCCAGTTCCAGCTCGACTTGCTGACCTGTTGGTTTTGCTCGAGACCTCTCAGCATGTTCGTCAGTAGGAAATCTGAACACTCTGTATTTCCTGCTGATCGGTCTCCCTGTCCACCACCAGGCAGGCGTTGAATGAGCTGGTTTGTCTTCCTTTTCACCACTAACTCACCTGGTCTTAGGCTCTGTGGTGGGTTGGATGGTCCCTAACCCCCTGCCCCCATGGATCTACCTAGAACCTGTGAAATGACCTTATCTGGAAAAAAGGGTCTTTTCAAATGTAATTAGATATTTATTTATGTATTTGACTGCACTAGGTTTTAGTTGCAACACCTGGGAGCTTTAGTTCCAGCAGGGTAACTCTTAGTTCTGGTAGGTGGGATCTAATTCCCTGACCAGGGATCGAACCTGGATCCAGACCCCCTGCACTGGGAGCACAGAGTCTTAGCCATCAGACCACCCGGGAAGTCCTCTGCAGATGTAATTAAGTTAAGAATCTCTACTTGAGATCGTTCTGGATTGTCTGTCATTGGCCCTAAATCTAATGACTGATACTCTCATAAAAGACAGAAGCGGAGAAGCCACACAGAGGGGAATGCCATGAGAAACAAAGGCAGAGATTCAGGTGGTGCCCCTCAAGGTGAGGAAGGCCTGGAGCTGCCAGAAGCTGTTAGAAGCCAGGAAGCCTCCTCCCCGAGAGCCTCTGGAGGGAGTTGGGTCCTGCCGACACCTTGATTTTGGACTTCCGGCCACTGGGACTTCGAGAGAATACATTTCTGTTGTTTTATGTCACCAAGTTGGTGGGAATTTGTTATGGCCGCCCGAGGAAATGAATACATCCCTGAGCCTCTGAACTTCATCTGTAAGATGTATTAAAATAAAACAGCATGGACCATGTGCCAGGGATTATGTAGGCTAAG